CGCGATACTCGGAGCAGTAAAGTACCGTATGCGTGGCCAGTCGCAGGGGGAGATTTCTTTTGCCTGGCTGCTTTGCCGCGAGCAGATCGCAGCACGCAGCACGCAGCACGGGATGTCCGGTGTCGGAAAGTGCAAGAAAGGGTAGGTAGGTAGAAATGAGATTGCTTCACTTACTGATTATTGAAGAAATGAAAGACAAAACAGACGCATAAGACAGAGGACTGAAGGGAGATCGTCTCTGCTCATCAGTGTATTGTAGGTAGTCGTGCGTAGCATGGACAAAGTCAGTCAGTCTCAAAGCTGTTGATTATTAGGTAGTTTCCAGCAAATCCGAGGCAGTGGTTTGACTGGTTTGCTGCATGAAGTCACGTGGGGCACATGACTGGGTGAGCTGAAACGGGCGTACGGTAGGCGGTGGGACGCAGGCTACGACACCACGCGGTAGACATGAGCACGCTGTAACTTCACTTGCTAGGTACATGTACATACACTACGTACTGTACAAGTACACTGCAAGGCGTGTGCGCGCAGCAATTGAAGAACAAAGTCCGGAAATCATGTCGACCTGACCGGCGGGTAACCTCGGCATTGGGCAAGGACAATTCCAAGACGGCTATCAGCATCATCAGCATCATGATCATCATACATACAATGATTGTTCGTATGCCTAGGCGGTGGTAACAAATCAATGAAGGGTCTGATCGGGATGACCTCACCAGTCCTGAGCGCCATTGGGAGAAGAGCTGCTTCATTTAGCCGGCGGGTAAAGCGGTTCTGTGCTCTGTAGCATACCTTATTCTCTTCGTTCCAGAAACTCTTTGTACTCCGTACATATACTGTCGTTATCCTGTGGTCGGGTCTATATGTCCACGCACTCATGATATGCATTTAACCCATGAATCAGATCCGCTCGGCGATATTCATTTCGGCTAGGATAACTAACTGCATGGCAAAACCACTTACCCATTGACCAGCTCAACATGGCACGGGGTTGAGATTTTCTCATTGGCCACTGAGGTCATCCGAGGAAACACCTGCATCAGTGCATGCATGCATAAGGCGGCGGCCTTCGAGGCATCGGCGGCGATAGCCGCTAGGACCCCTCACTGTTTGGAAGAGATAGGAGTATAGTGCCTGCATGGAGTCCAGGTAGATAGAGGCAATAACCAACTCAGTGTTATGGGGTCCAACAATGGAGTAGATTGCCTTCAATCAGGTAGATAGCTGGAGCTAGAATCACACACTCTTTCTCCTATTCTCTACAAATCTACTCTCAACTTCCAGTTAGACACTCTATCTAGAACCCGAGTATAACTACAACATAGTAACCACACAACACCAACAACACACAAGATCCTCCCCCCAAGCCAACCCAACCAACACACTGACAGGCATGACATCTCAAGATAACTACTAAACCATCTTACCTCACTTACCAGGATACTATACTTTCCAGTAATATGCAAGATAAAGCCACAGGCCAAGAGAACATTCCACCGCGAATCCGTGCAGCTCTCAATGACCAACCCGCTGCGCTGCACCTTGCACCATAAGCACAATAATGTAACATAACCCCCCAATCCCTCCAGAGTATACACCTGACAAACTCCTGTTTATCCGACCTGATTAACCACAACGCCTACAAAGCCCCGATACATGAA